AAGCCTCTGTTAGGTAGTTAGATATTAACAGGCTTGGAAAGCTTAGGTGCTGGACCCTGCTTCATAGTCTGCAGCCTATAAAACAGAGGACAGGAACTTCTGGGTATTGGTGGTCACAAGGTTGGGACCAGATTCATTTTTCTTGCTATGAGAGGAAAAGTGACCCCCTGGACAGCCTATTTGAAGTGGGCTTCATGGAGTCCTGAAGTTCTAATAAGGAACAACAACAACAAAAAACCACTATTATTGTGGACACACACCACTGAGCCTCCTCCTGGAAATCAGAGCAAGCCGGTTCAAAAAGAACCAGCACAGCACAGAACAAAGGCCTCAAAGGAATGCCAGAGTTTTGTTCTTGGGACTGTAGAAGTGGCATCAAGCCTGCCTGGTGTGTAGATCCAGTCACTGGTCTCTTTGGCCATTGTCTGCTGCCCCCACCCCCTTGATGGTGCTTGCTTTCCAAAATTCTATCTTCCACACAGTGCTTTGTGGTTCATAACTGAATTCTTCCACTGGAAATCACAAGAGATAGAGATGGGAGTCCAGGTGGGAATTCTGGCAACAACTCAAGAAATGCTGACAGTTACTGACACTTGCCTTTGCTTCCAAGAAGAAAGGAATGGTGCTAGCAGTTGGAAGAGGGAGTGTTGCACTGGAAAGTTGGGCTGCTTGCTGTTGGTCACACAGCTACTAAAGAGCAACACTGGCTTCCTGACCTAGTTCCCTCAGACTCCAGACTTTCTTGTTTTACAAATAAGGGAAGGCAGTGGCTTCTTCTGGAGGCACTACCAGTGCCTCTGCTTCAGAGCACCAATCTCACAAAGAGTTGGGTGGACCCCAGAGCAGGGAGCACAGGAAACAGTGCCCCTCCCTGTAAATGCAACAGAAACAGGATAGTGGGGCTTAAGACTCATGTTACTCAGATTCCAAAGTGGCTTCCTTAAATGTACAGGATTCAGGATGCTAAGGAAGGCCAGTGGCACAGGCCTATAATCCCAGCTAGTAGCTAGGGTGAGGCAGAGAGATTGCAAGTTCAAGGCCAACCTGGGCAATTTAGTGAGGATGCTTTTAGAATTAAAAAGTAAAAATGGCCCTGGGTTCAAGCCTCAGTACTGGATAAAAGCAAGGAAGAAGTGAGGAAGGGAGACAGGGTGGGGCAAGATAGAGCAGCAGATTTAGGTATTTGTCATTACACTTGACCTAAGCTTGATCCTTGGGACCCATGTGGTAGAAGCAGAGAACTGACTCCCAAGGTGGTGCTCTGAGCTCCATGGGCCATGGCATGGGAGGGAGGGAGGGAGGGAGGGAGGGAGGGAGGGAGGGAGGGAG